GGCGGACTGATATTTGATACTTGCTCGAAAATATGTAGTAGCAGGGATGCTACAAGGTAGGGAAAATGACGAAAAATCGAAGTCAAGCGAAAAAAAAATTGAAAAACCTTGATTCTGCATGGCATATGAGGGACATTTTTGGACGAGTTTCCCGTTGGCATCGCGCCAACAACCATTTCGAGAGATACGACTGCAAATATGTATTAATATATTCATGTAGCAACGCTTGATATCAATTGTACATTCATAAATGAAGCGATAAGAGTACCAGCGTCGATGTGACTGTGCGGCTACTTGTGGGCGGGCAGTTGCAGTGGGCGTCTGGGTCGGCATGTTGCACCTTGGTTAGGCGCTATAACGGTGCCCTTGGCTGGAACAGGCCCCACACAGCACCTGCTAGTGGGCACAATAATTTTTCGTGCTAGGCGAATCGACGCTGAACCCCTTGCCAATTAATCGTGTCACTTGCCTTTAACAGCAGTCATGGTATTGGACGGATTCTTAACGTTGCATTTACCAGGTCAAACCGTTTGTGATGCTGAAGCGAAGTAGCCCAGGTGAAAAACCCCATCAGGGCAATGACCGTTTCGAAGGCTACTGTATCGACCTTCTGCAGTTGTTGGCGAAGAACATTTCGGGATTCGAATATGAAATTTTTGTATCCGAAGGCAACAAGTATGTGAAACACGCTCATTACAATCTTTGTACGTTTACAGAGTCCATATTGTTGTAGGTATGGAGCCCGTCAACCTGATGGCAGCTGGGATGGAATGCTCGGCTATTTTGCTGAATGAGGTGAGGTAGTTCAGTCGGCGCTCATTGTATGGGAGGATCGAAACCCATACGATCTATATGTATGGAGTGTGGGAGGTATTATTGTGGCTTACTCACTTCTAAGAGCAACAAATGGAGTGGTGCATCAATGAACAAAGCGGCCAACTGTACTGGTCGACCCGCCCATTATGACCAGGCCTGGACAGTGTTTCCAGATTAAATACGTTTTATATGTGAATGTGTGTTAAATGGGGTGTAAACATGTACCGCTGGCCTTAAGTGCCAGATAGTTGATATATGAGCCGAGGTCTTTGCGAAAAATAACCTTCTTGCAGACTGCCGATATTGCAGTTGCTCCTCTGACAATCACGCAAGAGAGAGAAAGAGCTGTGGACTTTTCAAAACCCTTCATGACCACAGGTTAGTAACGAAATGTTCTTCGCTCGAAGACTCTACAGAGCTGTGAGAAAAAAGTCAGAAATAATATATTACAGTAAGTTATGGTAGCATTTTAATTTATTCTATAAAACATTTGGTTAACCATACGCTTGGTTATTAATTATTATTACACGGGGTCAACATAAGGAGATAGTTTGGTTTCCGTTTCGCACGTGCCCTTAGACGGAAACCAAACGAGCTTGTATATCCTTCTTCTGTGCTCGTCAGTAAGGGAAAGAAGGAATAATGAGTTTATATGGTAATAATTATTAGGATGATATATGACAATTGATGACTTTGTATGACTGTTACTAGATCTATTTGTTTATAACTAGTGGTATTATAATGTTATTTTATGGGTGATTTAAGTTATATTATGAAGGTGAAAGGTTTCATGTTTCAAAATGAAAGGAAAACATTAGTGGTGATCATGTTTAAAAGAAAAGAAAGGGAATTTTTTAATTTTAGTCCAGCAAAATGCCACTGTTCTTTCTGCCACTGTTTTCCTGCCAACATGCTGATACTCTCTGAATAAAAGTCAGCACTTTGAGGAATTTCCATCATGATCAAGAAACCCGAGAAACAAGAATTCAACATCTTCTCATTCATGGAACCACTTGGCATGCGCATCTGGATTCTCACCGTGTGCTCTTATGTTGGCGTGAGTGATACAAATATTGACGGCTGTTTGGCTCAGAGGAAGTGGGGAAGGTACATTTTCCGTTTTCGCTATCCATTTGGCTAGACCGTCATTGGAAAAAATTATAAAATGAAAATAAAATTATAAAATGAAAATGGCTCACCGTGGGAGGCCTACAATTGTAAATCTGCAAAATGCTTCAAGTGATCCTTTTCGATTACAGAACTTTACAGTTCTTCGCGATGTGACCTGTAAATGCTTCGCTGTAACTTTTAGGCGCCCCCTTTCACCCAATGGATAGCGTCCAAATATTAGGTTGATCAAAAAGTTTTGATAGGGTTTTTTGAAAGTTCCAGAACTTTCGATTCTTGATCGATACCAATGATCTACCATGTGGTAGTGGTAGAACATTCTAGAACCTTCTCCGTAATGGGTATATATAGGCGCGCTTCCTCCTTTAGCTTAAATCACGATGTCAATTCCACGAGACCATGTTCGATACATCATCTTCTACGAGTGGCGCCGCGGCACCGGAGCGACGGCAACCGTTCGCAACATCAACAGCGTATGGGGGAGGACACCACTTCCATCGCTACGGTCCATCGCTGGTTCGCTTCAAGGAAGGAGACACGGACTTCGAAGACAAGCCTCGGTCGGGACGCCCCTCGCCGTCGACGACTCCGTCATTCTCGACGCCGTCAAAGAGGATCCGGAAGTTAACACCCGCAGTCTTGCGACGAGACTTGGGTGTGCCCAATCAACAGTCGTCGGTCGCCTTCAGGCCCTCGGTTACAGAAAAGTGCTGACTCGATG